CAGCAGGTGAGTGTCTCGGGCTGGGGAGTGCTGCGAGGTAGCTCGGATCCTCTGTGCTGGTCACTCTCTTTTCTGCCTGCTGCCAACTGCTGCGTTCTCCTCCAAGCCTCTGAAGCTCCCTTTCTGTCCCAGCTGATATCCCCGCTGGTGAGGGGGCTTCTCAGGGTGTGGGACTCTTTCCTCTTTTCCAGCTCCTTCCCAGGGACACAGGTCCCATCCCTATTCCTTTTTAAAAAATCTTTCATCCTATCCAGTTATGAGGAGATATTTCTAGACACTTCTGGGTGTCTGATATCTTGTGCCAGTGTTCAGTAGGTACTCTGTGAGAATTGTTCCACACGTGGATGTATTTTTGATGTGTTTGTGGGAGGAGGTGAGCTCCACGTCCTTCTATTCTGCCATGTTGGTTCGTCCCCAACATTTTAAGATAACAGCTAAAATTATAACATTATACCAGGACATATCCAAACTTCAGAAGCTTTATATAATTTCTAGAATGTCTATATTAAAAAACATTTATCCATACCGTACAATCTGAGGAGGCTTATCAGTCATTTGACAATGCTTCCCATGTAATTTAACATACCAAACAATCCTAGTTAGTTTAATATTTTTCTCTGAGATGCCTTGGGGGCTCGCCAAAGCATCCCAAAGTTAGCTGGAGGTCAAAATTTTTTAATTAATTAAAATTTGATATTTGGGAAGTTTGTCAAAAAGTTTCAAAACACTTGGTCAAATAAGATCATAGGTCATTGTGAGACAATACTTATTCCTTTACCAAAATGAGAAGAGATCTCAAAAGCAAATACAGATCACTAAAAGGCACAGAAACTCAATCTGTTATCAATGGCAGCATTCCAGGAAAACTTTGTCCTCTTACCAGTGCGAGAAAAAAATCTAGTCTTGCACCAACTTACTTTTAATAATAAATTTCATTTACTTAAGTTAAATTCAGTCTAAACTTAGTCTATCCTGACCATGCACAAACTCTTAGAGTTCCTTTTCTACAAACCTTCCATCACTTCCTGTATCCATATTATTTTGCCCCTTAATTCTCCTATCTAGAAACAACCAGATGAACTTCCATCATTTAACTTAATTTAGCACAACTCTAAAATTTCACGTTACCAAATATCTGGAGAGATCATTTACATCTCAAAGGCACAGGAAAAGAAATGCAAATTTCTCTTCTAACTACTTACATAAAACCCAGCCATCTTGGGCTATTTTTGAACTTTCTTTTTTTCCAGTTCCCAAGTATCCAGTGAAGTTTAAACAAACAAATGACACTAATGGACAATAATGTGTATCATCTGCTCACATTCACAAGCCTCATTTTCAGCAAAACGAGGAAGAAAGAACAGGATTTGGACTCAGGTACAGAGACACTCATTCACATACATCCACACACCCCCCCCCCCCCAAGATAAAAGCAATTGCAAAAGACCCACTCTGATACAATAGCTGAGCCGTTAGGGGCCATTGTTCGACAGATCTCAGGGAGTATTGAGGCCACACAATGTTTCAAAAAATATATTTTCTTTCATTTATGGGAGCACAGCTAAAGATCTCCAAGTTTTGCAAAAATACCCCAGGGGACTATAAGATGGAACAGAGCTCTGATCATCCATACCTAATTATTCACGATTGGTGTTATCAGATATCAAGCAAACAGCAGTTCAAATGGGTCTCTCAGGGTCATAGGTCCCTAGCCACAAAACGGGAGAAACCCAGCCAATGTCCGTCCCATCAGAGATGAAGCTGAATAAATGACCAAGGCTAGTTCAAAAAAGGGAAAAATCCCAACCAATGCTCCACCACAGGCAAAACCAACACAATAGAGAAGGATACCCTGAAAAGAAGTAGAGATGGTCTAGTAAAGATGTACTTGTAGGGCTTCCCTGGGGGCGCAGTGGTTGAGAGTCCGCCTGCCGATGCAGGGGACACGGGTTCGTGCCCCGGTCCGGGAAGATCCCACATGCTGCGGAGTGGCTAGGTCCCTGAGCCATGGTCACTGAGCCTGCGTGTCCGGAGCCTGTGCTCTGCAACGGGAGAGGCCACAACAGTGAGAGGCCCCGTGTTCCGCAAAAAAAAAGATGTAGTTGTAATGTTTAAAAAAAAAAAAAAAAGTCCTGATGGAATTTTGAAATGTTTTTTAATTTTATATATATCAACATTCTTTGAATAAATACTTTCTAAATTAAAAAAAAAAAAAAAAGGATACCCTGGTGTCGTCACACACGAGCCCAGCCTGCGCAAGCTGGAGCGACTTACACCCAAGCGACACTGAATGTGGACCACAGCTCCGGATGTTTCTCGGTTCCGAACAGCCTTGTGCCGAGGGGTGGCCAGCGCCTGTCAGGGATAGGCTCTCTGAGATCCGCAGAGCGAAGTGTACTCTGGCAGCTGCTGGGCCTCAGGGAAGGGGCTGCCTCTGGCTGGGGTCGACCTGTCACATGCACAGACTCTTGGCTGGCTCACCAAAATTGCTAGCAAACGCGTTTGTGTGCCCGACGCACAGTGAGGCCAAACAATACCAAAACGTTGGAGTTTGGAGCAGAGAAAGGTTTATTGTAGGGTCACGCAAGGAGAAGGGTGGCTTGTGCCCCCAAAACCCTGAACTCCCCGAAAGGTTTCAGCAAAGCATCTTTAAAGGCCAAGTGAGGGAAGGGGGTCACAGGGTATGTGATCAGCTCATGCACAATTCTCTGATTGGCTGATGGAGAGGTAACAGGGTGGTGTCACAGGGGTTAACATTATCAGTGCTTAGGCTCCAGGGGGCCTGGGGGCTATGTGCTCAGGGTCATCAAGTAGTTAACATCTTCCGTTTGGTGGGGGGTTTTCACATCTGTGAAACAACTCAGCACATGTGCACCAGATGCTGTTACCTGGGTGCTTCAGGGAGGAGCTAAAGCTGAGGAGATGGGGGAAGGGCCTGTCCCGGGAAGGCCCCATAGGGTCCCGCTCGGTTACATTAGTGAAGGCAAAGTCTGCTCTGCTCCTGAGCAGACACCCAGGTGAGCCCTCCTGGATTGGGGACTTCGGCTCCAGAACAGCCCGGAAGTCCTCGTGGGCCCCAGACATGCTGAGGTCCGACCACTCATAATTTGCATTCCGATTTGCATGAAAACAAAAAATATTTGACACTTTTGTGCCTCTTTCAGACTCCCAAAGTGGTGTGAGTGTCCGCTTCTTTCTCTTGCCTCCACTGTGTGTATCGGGAAGAAAGGTGTCCGCTGGCCCCGGGGACAGCAGGTGGCCGTCTTTGCTCTCGGCCGCGTGGCCACTGCACGGTGGTGGCCGAGGGCAGGAGAGTTTCTGTGGCCACTCACCTCAGAAGGAAGGCAACTGTTTTTCTCTGATATTTTGGCAAGAAAGCTTTGACAAAGTTAACTGAAATACAGAATCCCTGCTGTTTCAGCTCAGTAAGAGCTCTGAATTGTGATTGATTGTTAATTTTGGATTCAAAAACTGCACAACACTAACAGATGTGATTTGAAATATTTTTAATATATTAACAACTAGGACATCTTTTGTGGTCAGACAGTAAGTTTGTTGATTGGCCAAGTGTTGACAATGGCGGGTCACTGGCTCTGGTGTTTTGCATCTGCCAATGGTCATTCCTTTCCTGGCTGCTCCAGTCTCTCTGCCCCAACCCCAGGTGAGTGGCGGGCAGATCACCCTGGACATTCATCAAGAGCCCTGGCTGCTTGATTCCACGTATGTAAACATAAAGTACCCAGAAAACGGAAAGGACTGAAAAGGCAGCACACTCTTGGAGTCTGGCGTTGGGAACCGGGAAAACAAACTTGTTTTTTTTGTTAAAATTCACGTATTTGGATTCAGTGCCGGTCAGAAGTTAATATGCCCTCTTGCGGAAGCGAAATATTTCTATTTCAGTGGAAGACCTATATTGTCAAACTGTAACCACAAGTCATGTCTCATCTCTCAATGTCTAACTAACTGCATGTTTTATCACAGGGACAAGCGGATCTCTTGAAGTACGCCAAGAACGAGACTGTGGAGAACCTGAAGCAGATCCACTATGCGGCTGTCTCCTGTGGACTCAATAAACCAGGCACAGAAAATACCGACGTCCAGAAGCCGCGCCGGAGCCTTGAAGTCATACCCGAAAAAGCAAACGATGAAACTGGAGAATGAGGGCACCTTCTAGAGATGATTACAGAATTTATAACTCTAGGACCAATTGTAGGCAGATGGGACATTTGCTTTGCACTCACTAATGAAAAATAATATTGGGGATTTTAAAGCACAACTGGAATAGCTAATTGCCGTCTATTAAAACTGTGAATGTATGTAGCAACCCTGCGTGTGGAGGCAAATAAACTCTTTAACAAGAAATTCTCTTCCTGGCCCAAATATGCTATATTTGTATACAAAGACATCATAACTCAGTTCCAGTGTGAACAACAGACTAGCCACTCTAGTTCCAGCGAGAAACAGACATTTTCCTAACTGAAAACAGTGTCTTAAGACGCAGATGGATTGTATGGTCTAATTAGTATTTACTGGGGAAAAACCGAATCTACAAGTTTTACTTATGTATGATTGCTGGGGGTCTCTGGGTTCCAGATGTTTTTGGAGGCGTGCCTGCTGAGCCATGGTTACAAAGGAGAATGTAAGTAGCCTTGAACTTGGGAGAGCCACTAGGTTCAAGGGACACTTGGACGGACGGACACTCCTGGCTGGAGACACCTGCTGGGTACACAATGTAAAGGCAACCAACCTGGAAGCAACACACTGTACATAGTTTTTCATTGTATTAAGTAGTGGTCACATTAAAAAGATATTTTATGATATTTCTCCAATAACAGTACGTGAATTTAATGAAAGTTTAACTTTTTAAAAATTTCCAGGTCAAGATATTCTACTCTTAAGAAGAGTGGCCAGTTACTTGGTGAACAGCTTTGTCAAAAATGAGTTGCTTGTCTGGCTTGACATTTTGCTTTTAGTACATACAGCAGCCATGACTTTACATAGTGGCAGCTGTCTGTAAAACAACCGACACCGCTTCCCCCTTCTCAGCCTGTTGATTCCTGCCGTAGGGGAGTGAGCCTGGACATGGTGCAGACAGTAAGCCAGTGGCAGGTGAAGGGGCTGGAGCGGGTGCCATGCTCCAGTGGCCAGCTGAGTCTTTAATCCAAGACTTTATTGTCCCAATCAGTGAAACTTCATGCTATTTTAGAAAACCTGCTAGACACTGAAGCCTAATTACTGCTCCTCCCAAACCAAACTGCTCTCACATTTTGGAAGGGTAAAAGCTTTCTAAACCTTCGATAACCGCTTTTTCATTTGTCCATATTCTTTTCAGTGACTCAGGTAAGCCAGATAACTATGTGGAATCCCCAACTTGGCGCCTCATTATTTCCTCACAGGGAAGTGGTCAGGCTGATATATTGAATTTATTTATGCCCAGACCCTGAAATATCCTTTTACAAAACAATTCCTTTTTCCAGTTCTTGTCATTTGCCTGCTGATCGTGTGCTTAAATTAAGGTATACATCTCCACTGGTCTTCACTCAATGTCATTCCAGTCAGAAAATTAAACGTCTCTGTTACTTGAATAATAGTGTGGTTTCCTGCTCACACCAGCCAGCAACCAGCCAGCAGCTTAGGCTCTTAGCTCTGAAATTAACTCTAATCGGAAAAAAAAACAAAAACAAAAATATGTAGAAAATAGTAAAGAAAAGTAGATTTGTAGACTGAGAAATAAAATAATGTGTAATTTAGATTATGGCTAGCAATCCTTGAACTTAGCTGGCAAGTAAATCGCAATGTTCAGTGACAATCCAGAAATCATAAAAAATGACTTAAAATATTATAAAATTGAAAAAAATTGCTACATTTATAGTAATGGCAGATATTATCTAATATGTGACTTAAATGACTCTGAGACCAAGGCACCTGTCATTGGCTAGGGTTCATATAGGCTTTTAGAATCAGCAGACTTCAAAACCGAAGGGGTCTATGAGATCATTCCATCTGACGTGTCCTTTTCCAGATGCAGACGTTGCAGACAAAAGTAATAAACTGCGGTGCCCGAGGTCACAAAGTCTGTCGGGGGAGTGACCCAGCCCAGGGTTTGCTCCATGTTGCCATGCTAAGAAAGTCAGCCTTCTTTTGACCCCTCTCTTCAAAGGGATAAGCCAAGCAAAGGAAAAAAGCAGGCGCACTTGCTGGGGAGTTGTTCCCCAAGTCGCAGTGTTTCTCCTGCTTGTCTAGATCCCACTCCAGGGAGCACTGTCTCCTTCAAGACGATGACCCAAATCAGCAGAGCACACAGTCATGGCTTATTCGTGGCTAAGTGACCCTCTTTTCTGACTGTGAAAGATTCTAAAGGATGAATTACAATTGTTTAAGGAGGGGCAGTGATGGCCAGAGTTGATGTGGTCTGAGGTTTAGAGATGTATTCTTTAACAAATGAAAAAAACTGGAACCGGGTGGCAGGTAAATATGATTCCTAAGTTTAGACCCTGTAACTATCTGGGAGGTTTCTTCCAGCCCTGGGCGCCACTAGTTCTAGTCCATTTGGTTGCACCTGGCCTCTACTGTATGGCTTCCCAAGGGAGGAATGAAGTATGAAATAAATAGGTTGAGATACAGATTTCCAGAGAGAGTGTTTTCTTGATATCAGTTTTCCTATGCCTGATGCTCTGGGGGAGGGAAGATTTGAAACCCACTTCTTCCTTCTAGATACACCGGATGGAGTGGCCACACCTTCTTTGCTGGCGAGGAGAGGACAGAGCAGGTGATTCTAGCTGTGGTTTGGTCTTTTTGGACAGTGAGTGTGATGCTGGGGACCTCACTGGCGGGGCCGGGTGAGCTACAGGGAAAAGCTGTCTGCATTTTGGGGAAGGTCTGCGTGCTCAGCGGGCCCCCTGCTTCTCTCCGCGGGTTTAAAGGGCTGCACCAAGGCCACGTGCGCGCTGGGAAGAGGCTGGGTTTCAGAGGCGTCTCCACGGGGCTGCGGGGGTGGCCGGGCAGCGGTCAGAGGTCCAGGGGGCTCACGATGGTGAAGCCCGAGTCCTTGCTGTTGCCGCTGCTGTCGTCGTCGGGGCTGGGGCTGGAGCTGGGGCTGCCGGACGAGGCCGAGGCCGAGGCCGAGGCCGAGGCCGGGCCGGTTAGCGGGTCTGAGAACACCGGGGCGCGCCGCGCCGAGCTCCGGAGGGGCCGCGGGGCCTGAGCCTGGGCGACCGGGGCCGCCCTGGCGCTGCCCGCGTCGTCGTCTTTGGAGACGAGGATGAAGTCGTCCATGTCGCCTTTCTCCCTGCGCCCCGGCGGCGCTGCTGAAGGGGCCTGGGAAGGAGTCAGAGCACAGGGGGGGAGGGAAGAACCGGTGAGACGGTGAGATGCGGAGCAGGTTGGGGACCCACGGTCCCCCCGGAAAGACGCAGGGAGGCCCCTCTGGTGGGAGCTGTGGGCCTGGGGAGCGGAGCACACGGCCCGCGGCCCTGCCCTGCTCATCACCCTCCTCCTGGGGCGCCAGCTTTCCCATGTGAGGGGGCATGGGGTGAGGACAGCGTGTCCGTCCTCGCCCCCGCCCTCGGGTGTGGCCGCCACGCAGTGAGTGACGCGCCCAGATGGTTATGAGGCCACAGGCTGGCTCCCCAGTGTGCCCCCCACCCCCCATCTGCAGTGATGCTACTACCGCCTGCAAGGGGGCTGCAGGGGGAGCCCAATGTGTTCCATCTCCTCACATCTCACAGCCGGCTCATCCTGGCTGAGCGCCGGGGGTCTCCCAGGACAATGCGGGGGGCTGGGAGCTTCTACAGACACAGAAACCCGGAATGGTCCTTTGCAAAAAGTATAGAGACGCAATGGCTTTACTCTACAATTATTTTCCTTTCTTTCTGAGTAATTATGTGTTTTGTTTTTAACAAAAACAGCTGACATCCAAGGACACTGGTCAAGGTTTTGGGTTAAGATCAGAGAAGCTCCTGCCAGCCCTGGGATGAAAGTAAAGCCACAGTCTGACCAGGGATGTTCCAGCCTGGCAGGAAGAGCCCTTGCCCACGGCCAACTAAGCCAATGCAGTGGCCACACCTGCTGCCTGCCCCGCCCGCCTACTCTCCCCGAGGGGTGGGGGGAATTGGGGCAGGGCCTGAGGTCTAAGGAGGGGTACAGAGCCTCACGGGGACCTCTGGCTCCAGCATGGCCAAGACCACCTTTGGGCTATGGGAGAGAGTCAGCAACACTCCTCAGGGAATCTGGGTGTGACTGACAGGCCCCCTCTGAATTTCATGTTCTCCTGAGTGACATGCGGGCCAGTGGCTGAATAATGGCTCAGGTGTCTCCCCCTCTGTCAATTTGCCTACTTTTAAGAGATTTAATCGGAGAACAGGAACAGAATGGCATTAAAGATCCCAGTGCTGAGACACAGCAGGCCTCAAGTTGTAAAGCTGTTTATAGCCTGTCAACACAGCAATTCTTACAAAACGGAAGAGACATGCAGCACATGGCCCTGCGGTAGAAGGGGATGTGATCCCTAATGGCACTAGGGCAGTTTGGTGAGACAGATGGCCCTTTCTCATCCCATTACTGCCCTCTGTGAGGTGGTCAGGGCCAGGGGCCCTCAGGGGAGGGTGTCCCCCCACGTCCATGCCTGCGGGTGCACGTCAGGCCTTGGCTTTGGCCTCCCACCCCCAGACTGGAGATGCTTTGTTCATGTGACTGCTGTGCTGAGCTGTAAGCCGCGAGAACCTTGACCTCCCACCCCACTGAGGAGCTTATCTGAGGTTGACAACAGAGCAAGGACAGTCCTATTTTCAGAGCCGTGTCTCTACCGCAGAAATGCCAAGATAACCTCTCCGCCTTTAGCATACGGTGAGGACATGGGCAGGACTCGAAGAGGAGAAACACCTGTAACGTGTTTTAGCCTGTGACTAGAAGGAAAGATGGTTCCTACCATCACTAATTATCTGGCTTGTTTCTGGAAAAGCAGTGGAGTCAAGTTATAAATGGTGAGTGATGCCGCCCTCCCCCCAGTTTCCGGATAAAGCCATGACTGGCCCAGACAAGGCACGTTAGAACTGCCAGGGCTTCTGCAACCATCTTTTCCTCTTACCCCACTGCACCATTATCTTACGAACCAAGAACTGAAGCCCAGGTCAGAGGCCTGGAGACTTGGCCGACGTCACAAGCAGATGAAAACACCCCATTCTTCTGGATTCCCACCTAGAATTTTTTTCTAGACCCAAGTAAGCTTTCTCTCTGGATTTCCATAGCAATCTCAGCTACTACCTGGTGCCGTTTCTATCCTTTACAGAAACTTTGTAATTTCTCACGTCAGTCTTCTCTTTCTGCCAAACACAGGCGTGTGTCACATGATATAAAAAGTTTCTCAACATGTCAGTCCTGCCTACAGCTGGCCAGCACGGCCACCTTCCCCGCCCTGCCAGCCCACCACTCCTGTTGCTCAGATTGATTGAGGATCGCAGTGGAAGCAGGTGCTGTTCAACAGGAATGTTCCGCGCACGCTGATGAAATGTCCCCTCTCTGTGCTGTCCAGGCAGGCAGCCCTACTCACGTGAGGATACTGAGCGCTGGAGAGACACCTAGTGTGACTGAGGAGCTGAATTAACTTTGAATTCTCTTTGATCCTGATGAATTTAAATTGAATTTTAAGTAGACACCTGTGGCTAGTGGCTACTGCATTAGCCCCCCGCAGTTCTGGACCACAGATAAAAATATGGGACCAAAGACCAGGGAGGCAGGTGATACGGGCTGATGGACTGATGAATCAAGGGTCCTCCAAGTCCCTCCTTCTGCTGGGTGGATTTGAGTGAAGTTCATCCAAAACCTCCCAAAGATTCACAAAGGAGTGTGTGAAGGACAGATTGTGGAAGGGAGGGACTGAATGAGGCTCTTTTCACCCTGCAGAATACAATTTCCAGGACTTCCCTGGTGGCGCCATGGTTAAGAATCCGCCTGCCAGTGCAGGGGGACACGGGTTCCATCCCTGGTCCAGGAAGATCCCACATGCCGCGGAGCAACTAAGCCCGTGCGCCACAACTACTGAGCCTGCGCTCTAGAGCCCGCGAGCCACAACTACCGAAGCCCGCGCGCCTGGAGCCCGTGCTCCGCAACAAGAGAAGCCACTGCAATGAGAAGCCCGCGCACCACAACGAAGAGTAGCCCCCGCTCACCGCAACTAGAGAAAGCCCGCGTGCAGCAATGAAGACCCAACACAGCCAAAAATAAACTAATTTAAAAAGAGAAAAAACGAATACAATTTCCCCTCTGCTGTTGGCAGAGCTCGAGAGAAGATGTGTAATCAGAGGGAAAGAAGAGCCACATCTCTACCAGCTTCCCAGGGGGGAGTGGGGTGCGTGCACTGCCACGAAGGAAGAGCCTTTTTATGTTTCGTTTTGTGTGTGTGTGTGTTTTTTTTTTTTTTTTTTTGGTACGCGGGCCTCTCACTGCTGTGGCGTCTCCCGTTGCGGAGCACAGGCTCCGGACGCGCAGGCTTAGCGGCCATGGCTCACGGGCCCAGCTGCTCCGTGGCATGTGGTATCTTCCTGGACGGGGGCACGAACCCATGTCCCCTGCGTCGGCAGGCGGACTCTCAACCACTGCGCCACCAGGGAAGCCCAGAAGAGCCCTTTTAAGTCCCTGGTGGGGAGGGGCACTGGCAGGGGGACCGAGCCCTCTGCTCCAAGTTGGGGTGAGCCCAGTTCTCTGTGGAAACGAGGGCCTATCACACTGCACCGCCCTTCCCGGCTCACGGCCAGCTCATGTGGAGGCTGCACTGGGTCCACTGGGGCTGCGCTGGCAACTGGTAGGTTCTTACAAATCTGAAAACTGGGAAGGACGATTACAAAGTATACTCAAGAAGTTTTCAATTAGCAAATTTGTTAGTGTTCTTCAAAGCTCTTTTTCTGTGGTATTTTTAGATATTCAACTAAAAAAAATATCACGCTAAATTTTAAAATAAACTTGTCGAATAAAAATGGTCGGGGGGTGGGCCTAAGCGCAATAATATGTGAATAAATAACTAATTATTGAAAATTAAACATCTGGGCATGCAAGGGGAATCTGGAGGAACTAATCGAGGTAAGCTTGCAATGTTACTGTTGGATTCATGTGGCTTTAAAATGCAGACTCAAAATGCTCTCTGAAAATTCCCTTCTAAAGCTGGATGAAACGGACCACACAGGGTTCTCTTCTGGAAAAGTACTCTTAAAACTGAAAAAGTCCCATTCTAAGATGTCATTTTGCTTCTTTAAAGTCATAAAAAATATACAATTTACAAGCATCTGGATGCTAGTTTTTGAGAAAGTAACTTAGATGAGAGCTAATGGGAGATTTTCAAGGTGAAACTCTGCACACCATTTTAACAAGAATATTATTAGGAATGCTTACTCCCATCAGATCACACGCTGGGAGGCAGCGTGGTGGAGCTGGAAGCTGAATGAACTGGGACAGGGGTTCAGAAAACAATTCCTCACTGGTAAAACGAGCAGGTGTTTCTTCGATCCTTCCTAACTGGAAAATTCTGGGATTCTATGTTAGAACAAATTACACACCATGTTGACACCCAAGAGCGCAGGTCAGCAAACGACAGCTCGTGGGCCAAATCCAGCCTGTGGCCTGTTTTTGTGTGGCTCTCAAGCTGAGAATGGCTTATGTATACATATATATTTTTTTAATTTTTATTTTATATTGGGGTATAGTTGATTAGCAATGTTGTGTTAGTTTCAGGTGTACAGCAAAGTGATTCAGTTATACATATACATGTATCTATTCTTTTTCACATGCTTTTCCCATTTAGGTTATTACAGAATATTGAGCAGAGTCCCCTGTGCTATACAGGAGGTCCTTGTTGGTTATCTATTTTATATATAGTAGTGTGTATATGTTAATCCCAAACTCCTAATTTATCCCTCTCCCCCAACCTTCTTCCCTCAGTAACCATAAGTTTGTTCTCCAAGTCTGTGACTCTGTTTCTGTTTTGTAAATTTTAAAGGGCTGTAAAAACAAGCAAGCTAGCATACCAAATACAAAAACAGATATGTGACAGAGACCACATGTGGCCTGAAAATCCTAAAATATTTACTCTCTGGCCCTTTACAGAAAAAAATTGCTGACCTATGTGGCTTAGAGGATGGACATTGAGAAGTCCTTCCCCATGAAGGCCAAAAACGTTCCAGGCCAGTGAAGTACACTCAAGACAGCATTAGGAAAGCATGGACAGTACTTCTTGTGCTAAAGGGGAATGGAGGCATCGGCTGAAGGCAACTGACCAATAACTGAGGCAGAGATCCGGCTTTCTAACAGCGCAAGGTGGGACGGGCAGGAGGCTCAGGCCGAAGCTGCTGCGTACAGGTGTGTAGGCTGTGCACTGCACAACTCCAGGAGATGCTAGTCTATTCTGAAGGGCACTGCCCAGGGCACTGGAGTACACAACTTGCACAGCTGGGTACATCACCCCTGGCTTAGGTCACTTGTATTTTACAGTTGAACTTCACACATGGTCACGTGAAGTAACTTTGGTGGGCTCGTATTATCCATAGTTTGAATGTGTGTGCATCCCCCCCACCTTCCTTCTCAGGCTGATGTGACAGTGTTCTCACGTGCCTGTACCTGCTTGGTGGCCCTGGGCAGGTGACCCTGGCCGCTGGAGCAGTAGTGGTCATCTGAGATGGTGATCTGCTCGTTCTCCTCGGCTTCCAGCTGGCTCTGGTTGAAACGCAGGGAACCTTTTAGAATGTCTTTGATCTGTTTTCAAAGAAGAAGAAAATCCATGAGAAAGATGAATGAGTTTGGTTTTAAATGTCAGCTAAACCTCGAATACATCTGAATCAGACTTGTCATTGACTGTTCTTTTATAGTGTGGATATGAATTTATGACCATCAGAAAGGACAGGAGAAAAAATCCAGCTCTATATCAAAACCGCTGACTTATGAATGACCAAGGAAGATGCCACAGCCTGAATGGCCAGGTTCTCACAGGCGCGGACGGGCTGTCATGCCCTTGGTGGTTATCCTAGAGCAGGAAGCACCGCGTGCCCTCACACCCGGCTCCATGGAACAGCCCTCAGCCTCTGAAGGGGCCCACCCACCCCAGTTGAGGGCTAATAACGCAGGCCGCGTCTCTTCACTGACATTTCTGTTCCATTCGGTCCTTCAAGGGTCGAGTCACTGTGGCCCTTGAGGGGCTGAGGCCTGTTATAGGAGGTGGTCGTTTATGCCTTGTGCTCCCAGGACATTCGTGATGAGTGACTGGACTTGAGCTGGACCACACACACCACAGCAGCTTCGATAAGGAGCAAACAGAACAGCTTTGCTAAGAGGAAGGGGCAGGGGTGGGAAATGAGAAACCAGTCTGGGCTGTAGGCTGGTCAGACGTAATTGCTGGGCAGAGCAGGGCCATGAGCAGGTAGAGTCAGGAGGGGTCTGTCTGGGAGGAGACACAGGGCCAGGGGGACACTTGCTCTGATGTCACGGTACCCGTGCCCTGGTGCCCTCCCCAACAGGCACTGCAAGGGTGGCCTGTGCGACACAAAGTCAGAGCAATGGACATACCTGCTTTAGTCCTGCCAGGGAAACCAGAATTTGATCTTCTTTTTCCAAATTTTCTTGTAGTATCACTTCTTGAATATTTACTGAAAACAGAAGAATGACATTTTGTAACTAGTGGCCTGGGTGTAACTTATCTGCTGTCACACCATCACTTCAGACAAGCTGGGGAAGGCTTTTGCCAAGTTTCACAGCAACTCTTCCCACCAAGGACGCTCTGCCCATCTAGAGATGGGGCAGTTGCCGGGCACAGCACGGGGGCACCGAGCCTGGTACACACAGCCTCCCCCAACATCCCACGGATGCGCTCTCACGGTGACAGACGTGTCTTACTCCTCCAGAGGGCTCAGGGCGCCCCTTGCTGACCTAAGACGTGGTGAACAGCGTGGAGCGTTCATCCAGCGTCTGGGAGGAGGTGTTTCCGCTGGGCTTCCTACACTTCTCAGAGTTCAATGCTGTTACCTCACCCCTCTCGCTAAATAAAGACCAGGCCCTCCCAGGTGACGTACATTAAAGACACCATCTTTAAAAAATGTAAACAGTACGGTATGTTGTCAATTCAACATAATGTTAAAAATAAAAGAACAAGCTCACCGAGTCAGCAACACTTAACCCAGGGTCTTCACAGGAACTGCTTCCCTATGCCCTGCAGGAGGCTTGGCCTCTGCTGGAGAGGCCTTAAGCCAGACCTGATCTGAGGACTCGCCGAGCTGAGCTGACCACCAAGGGCTTCAGCAAGCAGGGGACCTCAGCCTTCCCCACCGCATGCCTGAGGGATGCACACAGCCCTGCTGGGGACTGTGGCTTCCGAGGAGGGGATTCTCGGGGGAGTGCAGGAGTGGAAGCCCCCTCCCCAGCGCTTCGCAGGAGACTGTGTTCGGGGGTGGGGGGTGGGGGGGCGGGGAATTGAAACACATTTTTACAAAGATACCATCCGAGCACCACATTGAGAATCGCTGCAGTAAGCAGGCTCACCTTCCATTAACACCTGCTTCCTTATTTCCTGGCCCTTGACAATACCCTACTTACAAGGCCTCACAAGCCATGTTCTCAGTCATTCACTCCACCAAGCTGGCCCAGTCTCTGCGCGGGGCTCCTCTGCTCTGTGCCCGGCCCCCGGCGATCCGCGGCGGGAGAGGCGGGGCCAGCATCCTGCCTGCCCCGGGGCCTGGAGGCTCTGTCCCCAGAGCCCTGCCGACCCGCTCCCCTCAGGGGTCCACCCTCGGCTCCCCTGCGGCCTCATTGGAGCAGAGCCAAGCGGCCCAGGCCACCCTCTGGTCTCCCACCACCAGCTCTTCTACTGCCTCGACCATAAGCCCTGTCACACCCGACGTTAGCACAGGCGTCTGCTGGCTTATCTGTGGTCCATCAACCCCAGCAGGGTCTGGTTCAGGACTACACCCCCAGCCCTCAGCAGAATGGCCGGCACATTTCAGGTGCACGGTTAAGTATTGACTGACCGACCGACTGAACAAACATGGAAAAACATCCTTGGAACCTGCACTGCAGAACACTGCTATCCTCAATACTTCCAACAAGTAGTTCCAGCAAGGGGCAAGGTGAAGACTGTTGCTATCCACACGAGTCCAGCCGGTTTATTAGAGCCTTCGCTGAGAATAAATCTCCGGACCATACTGACAAGTCCTCTTACAGACAGCAGCAGAAAAACAGCAGCCTTAGCTTATTCAGAAAATGTGACTGCAGCCTCTGGCTAACAGAAAGGCCTGCTTCAGAAGAGAGCAAGATGAATGGGAATGGAATAACAGATATAATTAGAGAGGGAATGTTTCTGGTTTCCTTAAAAGCCTGTAACAATTTGTTCTCTCTCAATTAAAAAAACAACAACAACAAAAAAAAACCCATCATAAAATCCACTCAACATGACATTAACGACAACCAACTGCAGAAGACTGACCAGAGAGACAGTTCTGTAGGTCTTTGGGAGGACTGAGAAAGGTTGCCTTTCAGGGTTGCCTCAGGACTGCTCGGCATTTTTTTTTTTTTTTTACCATATAATTTTATTTATTTAAAATTCTGGAAAATTCAAAGTAATTTATGGTTACAGAAAGTAGGACAGTGTATGCCTGGGGTCAGTGGGTTGGGGAGGGGTGAGAGGAGGAATTATCAAGGAGCACACTTGTCAATAAAACATGAACAGAATAGAAGTATACCACTTCCAGGATGGAAATGTAAGGCCTATTCATAACTCCTCCATTCTCTCTTCTCCCTTCTAGCTATCTGGAACCCATGACAACTCACTACCCCAACTATAGATGAAAACAAGGACCTGGAGGATAGTGTATCCCTGAATGGCCAAATGAAATAGAGGCTCAACGTTTACCTTGAACACTCCCTCAGACTATTATGTGGGAGGAAAGTAAACTTTAGTCTCCTTTAAGGCATTGAATTATTGTTGGATCTTTTTGTTAGAGTAGCCTAGCCTTATTGTATCAAATATTTATTGAATTTTAAATTTCAATGACATTTCTTTTTTAACTTGAGGAATTCTCTTTCAAATCTTCTAGGCATTTTTTTTTAATCAACGTCTTTATTGGAGTATAATTGCTTTACAATGGTGTGTTAGTTTCTGCTTTATAAAAAAGTGAATCAGTTTTAAGGCAGAGCTCCGGGCCCAGGGCTGCCTAGGCAGTTTGGCAGGGCGGTGGCCCTGCCCCACTGAGCCGCTAGGGGGCAGATCCCCAGCTCCGGCTGTGGAGGCGGAGGCAGCAGGGGAGAGCTCCCAGGCCCCGGGAGGAAGCTCAGCCAGCGGATGCAGGGGCACCGGGACAGCTGGAGGAAGCGCGGGGGGTTCTCCCGTCCAAGGAGGTAACGGAGGCCGCACCTGGCAAATCGGGGGCCAGGAAGAGAGGCGATCTGTTGAGAGCAACTGTGATAGGTTATGTCCTGCCCTGCAGGACCTTTGTCTCCTGTTGCCTCTTGGAGAGTTTGCTGTGGAACATCGCACGGAGCCAAAGGGCTTGGCCAGACTGCCTGTCTCCAACGTAGTGGTGGGACCCACGGTTGGCAGCCGTAAGGACCACAGGCCTTGGCTGACAGGGCTGTCAGTGGCTCCAGTGGGGACAGAGGCCTAGAAAGATGCGGGAACAGAGCCTTCCTTAGAGGCCGGCAAGGACCCGGAGGGCACTCAGAAGCCCTTCCTCAAATAACAGAGGGACACGTGAGACAGACCAGAATCCTGACGCCACCCGGGCAGGAAGAAGAGACAGAGTGGGGAAACGAACTGTGGGCCTTGGTCCAGACAAGGTGGTTAACCGGTAGGAAATCGAGTTGCCTCTAACTGGCAAGTGTTTAGGCCTCTCTGGAACTTCAGAGAGAGATTTCTGCACACCCGAGTTTAAGTATATAGATTTACTCTCCCACTACAGACCTGAGGCCGTACCACATCACACTGGCCGTGCGGGCCGAAAATCCCATGAACCAAGAAGGCCTAGCCACGCTCTCGTGGATGCCCTGCTTTGCTGTGAGCCTCCCATGGCCCGTATACTCCAGAGGGGTAGTGGTGATGCTGGCAGGACGGGCTGGGGAAGCAGAGGGCAGGAGCGCGTCGGGAAGCTGCAGTAACGGAAACCCTGGTCCTTCAGGCCTAAGTGGGGATACGCTCCCTGTTTCTCAAGGCCCCTCCCTTCCTGTGCTTTCCTTTGCTGAGACGCCAGCAGCCACAGCCTAGATCCTCACAGCCGCCGCACCGTCTCTCAGGTCTAAAGAGGTGGCAGGGCTGCTGGGTGGGGGGACCCCAACCCCACCCTCCAACCCCTCCTCACCGACGGGTCCCAGAGGTTGCGGTGCGCCCTCCCTCGCCGCCAGCGGTGGTCACGTGACCGTGAAGCCCGCGGAGGGAGCCTCTGGAAAGCTCCCCACGGGGACTGGCTCCGTCTGTGCCTTTACGTTCCCCACTCGTGCTGCCTGAAAGGCTGGCAGGAACCCTGAAGGTCACCTCGCAAGCACCTGGGTGAGGGTCACCGCCCAGCGCTGTGGGCGTGGCCGGGAAGAGCCCGGGGCCCCAGCACATCGCGGAGCTGCCATACCTGCTCCCACGGCCTGCCTCTGGGCTGCTTTGACTTAAGAAAAAAATAAATAACCTCCTGGTGTGTCTATTCTACTGTTTTGGGGGTTAATGTGAGTAGCGGCTGTAATCGTGTCAAAGGACTACAAACTGGGTGGTTTAAAACGAAAGAAATGTATTCTCGTTCCAGAGGTGCTAAGTCAAAGCCAAGGTGCCGGTGGGGCCTCGCTCCCTGCAGGCTGGAGAGAAGTCTTCTTTCCTGCCTCCTCCCGGCTTCGTCTCAACTCGATGACACTTGTCAAGACCCTCTTTCCAAGTAAGGTCACATTCACGGGTTCCGGGTGAACATGAATTGGGGGGAACACTTCTCGACTCAGTACAGCAGCCACGCTGCCTACCTGTCACACAGGATCAAAGTCATCCCGTTCCTCTAATGAAAGGGGACCAAGGTCAAGGGCGCACCTGGGAGGACAGGAGCCCAGAGCCTTGGTATCCTCAGCAGTGCACTCCCACCCGACAGCTCTCCAGCCTGGTTCTTTGGATTGGATCAAAGTTCACCTTTTTGAAGGGGATGAAAACCAGGAGCTTCTCCCCTGAAAACCCACATAAAATGACATAAAATGTTCACTTAATTTTAAGGCTAAACCTCTCCTGTAATCAACTGAGCTGACTAGCTGTGCAATCCAGGGTACAGAAATCCAAGTCAAAACAAAAGGGCACCTACAGAGGCTGCTAAGTGTCCTGAATACAAGAATTTTTATTTACCTCACAAAGTAATGACCGTGTAAATCCTTTGCCTAGCCACTTCCACTATATACTGATTCAAGGCAGCATTTACAACCATTTTAGTAATATAGAACTTCTCAGTCACAAATGCACTGCATGTAAAAATAGAAAAACATAATGGTCTCTTTTCATACCTTATAATATTGAAGGCAGAAATGTGAAGTGTTTAAATTTTCAATGTAGTGCACATTTTTCCTTCTAGTAAGAGGCAGAAATAATATAAATGATGATATAAAGGTTCTTTCTTTTTGTTTCTGTGTAGAAGGAAGATTATGT